CAAGCAAGCCTCATGTTCGCTTCAGCTGCGTGGCTGCCGGCCGCCATCTTTGTTGGCAGTTAATTTGCATATCCTGCTGATTAGCCAATGGGAAGTGTAGCGGAGGTATGGTCAATTACCATGTTTGTCTATTATTAGATAGGATAATTAATCAAATATATAATAATTAGATTTTTTAAAATATGTTTTATTGATTTTTTACAGAGAGGAAAGGAGAGGGTTGGAGAGTTAGAAACATCAATGAGAGAGAAACATCGATCAGCTGCCTCCTGCACACTCCCCATTGGGTATGTGCCCGCAACCAAGGACATGCCCTTGACTGGAATCGAACCTGGAACCCTTGAGTCCGCAGGCCAACGCTCTGTCCACTGAGCCAAACCGGTTAGGGCTAATAATTAGATTTTAAGTCTTCTCTGAGTAGCAAAGATAAAGATGGACCAAAGATTACTTATTACCAATGATATTACTCATGAATTAGAATAGAGTTTTAACATTGTTTTGATCTCTGCAAACATGCTCCTGACCTGTAAGGTATATGAGATGTCACAGCAGCTGTGCTTTATCTATGAGGAAATTGAGGCCGAGAGTAGCTGGGTTACTCTCCTGATTACATAAATTGTTCAGTGGCAGAGTTGGAGAAGAACCCAGATCTTGTCTTTCTGATTAATTTTTTTAAATCTCGGTGAGAAATGTAGTTCAGAAATACAATCCTGGCCATCAACTATTTTCTGCCATCCAACACAGTTGATCATCCCACATTCCATATCAAAGTACTTTCTATTTGACCCCAAGAACACTCTTTCTGTTTCCCTCTCAGTTTGAACGCCATGACCCTGTAGATGGGAGGATTACTGAGAGGCAGTTCGGTGGCATGCTGCTGGCCTACAGTGGGGTGCAGTCCAAGAAGCTGACTGCCATGCAGAAGCAACTCAAGAAGCACTTCAAAGAGGGAAAGGTAGGTATCTTTGCCTAGATGAAAAAAAGCCAAACCATGGAAACACACGGTGTCATGGACCAAAGGTTATGACTAATTCGTCTCCGGTACCTGAAAAAATGAGCAGTGGATAAGGAGAAAGGGAGAGCCCAGAATGACACTAGGTTTCTTATTTGGACAAAGGGTGACACCATGAACTGAGACAGAATTTAAAAGGAGACGTTGGTTTATAGGGAAGATAAAGAGTTCAGTTGTAGCTATCTTGAGTGTAAGATGCCTATAGACCAGTGGTTCTCAACCTGTGGGTCACGACCCCTTTGGGGGTCGAACGACCCTTTCACAGGGGTCGCCTAAGACCATCCTGCATATCAGATATTTACATTATGATTCATAACAGTAGCAAAATTACAGTTATGAAGTAGCAACAAAAATAATTTTATGGTTGGGGGTTACAACATGAAGAACTGTATTTAAAGGGCCAAAAGGTTGAGAACCACTGCTATAGACATCCAAGTAGAGTGGATTAGCAGGCAGTTGGATATTGAAATCTGTTTTAGAGGATGAGATAGATTTGGGAATCATCAACATAATAAGAATTAAAGCAAGGAGAACAGATGAGATTATCCAAGGAAAGTGTAATATAGAAAAAAACTATGGGCCAAGAACAAAATCCAGTGGAACACTGACATTTAAGCAGCTCAGGAAGGAAATCTTGAGGAAATATTTAGAGAAATACCCGGAGAAAGTAATGAAATCAAAGCCAAGGAAGTAGAGGATTCCGGAATTGAGGGCTCTACAGTGTTACATGTGATGGAGATGGCCCAGTAATATAAGATGATAAACATCCATTGGGCCAGGCCAATGTGGCTCAGTGGTTGAGCATCAACCCATGCACCAAGAGGTCACCAGTTCAATTCCTGGTCAGGGCACTTGCCTGGGTTGTGGACTCCCACCAGGGATCATGTAGGAGGCAGCTGATCACTGTTTCTATCTCTTTCTCCCTCCCCTTCTCTCTAAACAAATAAAAACATATTTTTAAAAATCCATTGGTTTTGGTAAAATAGTAATAATTGGTGACCTTTGGGAGAGCTGTTTCATTAGAGTGGTCTGTTAGAGGACATATTAGAATGAGAAATAAGAAAGTAGAGAAAGAGAAGAAGGAAAGGAAGAAAAGGGGAGTGGAAGCTCCTAAAAGGAAATAGCATATGTTAAAAACTCTCAGGCAGTACATAAGTCTGCTTGGGCTGCTATAACAAAATACCACAGACGAGGTGGCTTAAACAACAGGAATTAACTTTTCTCACAGTCTGGAGGCTAGAAGGCCAGGATCAAGATGCTGGAAAATTGGGTTTCTAATGAGGGCTCTCTTTCCTGGCCTGTAGACACTTCTTCCTGCTGTGTCCTCACATGGCCTTTCCCTGGTGTTTGCACAGAGAGGCAAGGAGCGGGGGAGTGCTCACACTAGCTCTCTGATGTGTCTTATGAGAGCATTAATCATTTCAGACCAGGGCTCCACCCCTAGGACCTTATTTAACCTTAATTATTTACTTAGGGGCCCATCTCCTAATAAAACCACACTGAGGGGTAGGGCTTCAATGTATAAGTTTTGGGGGATACAAACATTCATTCCATAAAGGAAGGAAAGGCAAATCTGGCATGTGTAAGGAACTGAAAAGGACTCTTGTGCTTGGAACCCACTAGCAAGGAGAATGGACTGTGATGCAGTCAGAGAGGGAGAAGAGAGCCAGAACATGCCGGATCTTACAGGCATGGAATGAGTTTGGATTTTATTCACAGTGCAATGGGAAGCTATTAAAGGGTTGTAAGCTGTGAAGTGGTATGGTTGTATGTATATTTAAAGAGATGATTCTGACTGCTTTATGAAAAATAGTTTGGAAGGAAGCAAGCATAGAAGCAAAAAAACTGATACTAAGATTATTAGAGAATTCAGGAAGAGATGATTGAGCAGCATTGAGACTGCAGACCATGGATTTCTAGTGGCACTTATCAACCCCATTCTAATGCCTTTCAACACTGGCTACGCCGAGAGCAAGAGGCAGATGGTAGAACTGAGTCAGCATCTGGGGATTTGCCAGGGAGTGGGAAGGACACATTGAAGCAGAAATTAGTTAAGAGGTCAGACCTCTTAAAGATCTTAGACACACACGCAGAGCAATGCCAGCAAACCCATGTCTTCTCATTCTCAGCCCAATGCTCATTTCACTGGACAGTGGTTACCAATTTGGCCATGACCAGGAAACTGACCTGGCACTAAAAATGTCCCATGAGATATTGCCAAGATAATGCAGTATGGGAGACATGGAGCTAGAAAACTTGAATTCAGGCCCTGCCTCAGGTTTCCATGGCCATTAGATAAATTGTTTAACCTCATTGGCCTCATGAACTCAGAAGCTTGTCCTAGATGTGCATTATAAGGGCACTGTGGCTTTAAAGGTTGAATAACTGAAAATAAGAAATAGGATGACTAGTACTATCCTTGTCTGATTTCTTAGTTATTGGTTTTTGTGCAGGAAATCTTGCATGAATAGCATTGCCCCAAGTTGGTAGAAAGCAGTTCTCATCACCCAGACTTCTTCCTCCTTGTCTTGGATGGCAGGAAGCTGAAAGGACCTCTGACCAGGCTGTAACCTGCAACCGAGGGCAGCTGGGCTCTGAGAGAGTGTCAGCCTCTCTGAATTCAGTCCAGCATGTCCCTAGAGCAGGTGTTTCCCTCGGCTGGAGAGAAAGACTCATCATTAATGGAAAGTGACAGATGACAGTACATATACCAGCTCAGATCTGCTGGAAATTATAATTTCAGAAAATTGATTGCAAAGGTTTAGGTGGATTTTTAGTGCTGGTCCTGGAAGCGTAGTGTTTGCATTAGGAAACACTCCTTTCTTTTAACAAGACTTATTTTTAAGTTTGTTCAGACATTGACTTGGCCTTATAATTATCTATCAGGATAAGCTAATTCATGTTTTATTATAAATTTATATTTAAGAGCAATAAATTGGGTGCTGGAGACATCTCCCTTGAAGGAATAGAGTATTTAGCTTTGGCAGGATAAGTTAATTTAGGACCTGAAGACCTTTCAAAAGAGCTCTGAAGTGAGAGGACACATTTTGTCAGATGGTAAAAATTTGGGGTGCTGCCCTAACCGGTTTGGCTCAGTGGATAGAGCGTCGGCCTGCAGACTCAAGGGTCCCAGGTTCGATTCCAGTCAAGGGCATGTACCTTGGTTGCGGGCATATCCCCAGTAGGGGGTGTGCAGGAGGCAGCTGATCGATGTTTCTCTCTCATCGATGTTTCTGACTCTCTATTCCTCTCCCTTCCTCTCTGTAAAAAAACAATAAAATACATTAAAAAAAATTGGGGGTGCTAAATTACTTCTGGCCCAGAATTCCAGCCTGCTCTAGCAAGAATGAGATTGGATGTCCTTTCATGTTGGTTAAATAGTTGAGAACATAGTAATTAGGTAAAATGAGAGTGAATGAAGGACCTTTGCTCCTATAGTTACCAGTCCATCTCTCTGGGACCATTTCCCATTAGAGGGGAATCGCCATCTTTTCTAATTGCTTTTTTATTTCACTTTAGATAAATTGTTACCATGAAAATGTGAGTTTTCATTTGGCTTATGTTAATTTTTGTGTGGGGGGAGGAAGAGGGGTGGTTCTGTACAAAATACCAAACCAGACCTAAAAGATTGAAGGTCCTAGTGGTGTATTAAATAAATCTACACTAATAAAATACAAACATGCAAATTGACCGTACCTTCAATACACCTTAAGCCACACCCACCAGCCAATCAGAGCAAATAATATATGCAAATTAACCCAACCAAGATGGCGGCCGGCAGCCATGGAACTGGAGCGAGCAGGAGGCTTGCTTGCTCCAGTGTTGGAGGAAGCCAAGCTTCCCCGCCTGCTGTAGCCAGCTCTGAGCTCCACTGAAAGGAAGAAAGTTTCAATTATAGAAGCTAAACAAACCCCAGGTACCTGCTTTCAGTCAGCCATGGCCATGGAGCTGGAGCGAGCAGGAGCCGGCTCTGAGTTCCACTAAAAGCAACAAAGTTTTAATTATAGAAAGTAAACAAACCCCAGATACCTGCTTTCAGCCAGCAGTGGCCACGGAGCTGGAGCGAGCAGGAGTGGGTTACCCTGGTGATGGAGGAAGCCAAGCTTTCCGCAGGCCTCCGCTAAAGGCAACAAAGTTTCAATTATAGAAGGTAAATAAATCCCAGAATAAAAAGAAAAAAAGGAGAGGCTGGGAGCTTACGTCACCAAGGGGCTTGGCCAGCCTGAAAACGGCCCTCAGCCCCTCACCCAGACTGGCCAAACCTCCATGGGGTAAGTGTCCCCACTGGGGTGGACATCCTCCGAGGGGTCCCACACACTGCAAGGGCATAGGCCGGGCTGAAGGACCCCCCGAGTGCACAAATTTTTGTGCACCGGGCCTCTAGTATCTGTATAATACTGAATGACCTTGCAGTGCTTCACAGCCATTTTTCTTTTTCTGTGTTTCTAGCAGCCTTGGTAGCTCATTTTGCCTTTGAAAATATAGAGATATAGAGAAAGAGATGACCCGCCCAGAGTCACCTGGAAACCAACACTTCCTCTTCCAGATCTGTGGCAGCTCTATTTCTCCATACTCTTCCTCTAAAGCAGTGGTTCTCAACCTTCTGGCCCTTTAAATACGGTTCCTCATGTTGTGACCCAACCATAAAATAATTTTCGTTGCTACTTCATAACTGTAATGTTGCTACTGTTATGAATCATAATGTAAATATCTGATATGCAGGATGGTCTTAGGCAACCCCTGTGAAAGGGTCATTCGACCGCCAAAGGGGTCGCGACCCACAGGTTGAGAACCGCTGCTCTAAAGCAATGCTGCTCCACCCAGGTTGCCCAGTAGGATCACTTGGGGAATTTTTAAGAAATGTGATTTTTGAGGCCCGCTTCAAACCAATTAAATCAGAAGCTCAATGGTTGGGTTTAGGCATCAGAGTTTCTAAAAGGGTT